ACAGGAAGGGAACTGCTGAGTGGAGAGATAACATCTGAGCCTGCTGAGTGCACTGTGATTTTTTCCCCCCAGAAGCTCTGCGAGAAAACAGCCAGAGTCCCTCCTTCTTGTGTTTCTCTGACAGATTTTCATTTTCAAGATTCATGATTCTTTCTAACTCCCTCTGGTCCTTATAATTGAAGGAAGCACCTGATAATACCAGGCACTTGAGACACATGTGTAACCCTGATAAAGCCAGGAGATCCGAGGGGCTCAGTCTCAGAAATGTCCCTCCTGACAGCACATAACTCCACAACCAAATGCAATTTCAGGTGAACTCAAATCCCCCGTTTTCATGTACTGAGAGCCAGGAGGCAGACGAACGCAGATAACCCATCACAGCCTTTGTAAAAGCCATTTCTGCTCCGCGCACCCCGTCGCACACGTCCCAGGACTCCCTCAACATTCAGAGGTGTACTTGTCCCTTTCCTGGTCCCCTGCACCTGGCCCCTGACCTTTGTCTTTATCCTGTAGATCAGCTTGGTCTCTCTCCAGTGAGAAACAATCCATTGAGGCAGGGGAAGGCAAAAACTGAGCTTACAATTACAGTTTCCTCGGGAAGACTGGAAGGGGGGACGCCTGTGCACACGCTCACACTATCTTCTGCTGCAAGACTTCTGCTGGGTCCCTTCCCTTCACAGAAACCCTATGAGATCCCTCTCATCTTTGCCCTTTTTTATAGGAACAAGAGGAGAGAAAGGGGGCGACCATGTCCTGAGCACCTGCTATGCACCCAGCAGCCGGGAGTGCTGCTTACCACAGCCCCTTCTTCCTCTAACAGGGGCCCGCCTGCTGTGTCCATGTCCATGTCCTGTGGCGGCCTCGCCTACTAATTGCTCTTTCTCCACCACAGTCCTGACCTCACCACAGTCAGCCACTCAACAAACACTGACCGAGCACCCCTACATGCCAGGCCCTGGTTTGAGTGCCAGCATCAGAGTGGTAACAGTGCGGATGGTCTTTCCCCTTGCTCAAAGCAGATAGTAAATAAGAAATTATGTTAAATTATTTCATAATCTCACCACAATTATTAAATTATTTACATAATTATAATAGTTACCTAATCATCATATGATTAGGTGAAAATTAATGTAATTATATAAAGTTAAATACTTACCATGAAAGATAGTCAAATGTAGAATTAGGGAAGTGTGTAGTTTATCACATGATTATTTAATAAGGAGCAATTACTAAGTAATTGGGTGGGATTGTTTAATTATGTACAGTCGATATAATTTTAATTCTGTATTTATAAGATATCAATATTTAATAGTGAAGTAATTTAATTACATAAATAACTATAAATGTTTATATATAATGTTTAAAGACAAATATAAGCATTTTCTTAGTACTTACTATGTGCCAGGCACCGTTGCAAGTTCTTTACCCTTATTAAGTCGTTTAATCCTCCCAATAGGCAGTAGTGTTACCCGCATTTTACAGGTGAGGAAAGCAAGGAGCAGAATGCCTGAGTGATTTTCCCAAGGACACACAGCCAGCGGACACTGAGCTGGACACTGAGCCCCAGCCGTCCGGGTCTAGAGGCTGCACTCTGGCACCACAGGTCCCCCCTCTCAGTAATGGTGACAGTGCTTTGTGGGGAGGATGCTGCCTGTGCCCGCCACATGCCTCACTCTTCCTGCCCCGGTTGGCATGGCGAATCCCAGCTGCCGGCCCCCGAGTCAGCCGAGTCTTCTCCGGGCTGCAGAGCCGCTCCCCCTGTGTGCAAGGCAAGTCCCAAGTGTACCATGTCACCAAGGCCCCCGGGAGCAGCCCTCCGCCAGCAGAAGGCAGGGGTAGGTGGATAAATACCTGGCTCCCTCAGCCGGGGCTCGGGTGCCTCGCCATTTCCCAGAGTCCCTGCAGGATCACGCCCTAGTGGCCGTGGGGTCACCGGCTTGATGACCTTCCTCAGCCGGTCCCCATCCCCTCCCAGGATTTCCTGAGATGACCTCCCACGTGGACTATTTACACACAAATCCTTGCCTCCGGCTCTGCTTCTGGGGGAAACGAAGCCAGGGCCCTGCTCGGCTCGCAGTAACGACAGTTCACACCAATAAACCGCTGGCTGTTTGCCGAGCACTGTTGTGAGTTGCTGTGAAGGGTTCAGTCTTCACAAGCAGCCTACAAATGGGGAAGCGGGGCACGGGCACCTGGGATTCTCCTAAGCTGCCCTCTCTCTCAGATACAGGCGGTAGAGATGGAAGTTCAGCCGGGGCCTTCCTAGCCCCTCAAACGCCATGACCAAGGGCATCATGACCTTCTGTGAAGTCTCCTGTTTCACCAAGAGACTGTGGTCGAGCTACGGAGCTGAGGACGAGCGGAGGAAAAGCAAAGCTACACAAGGTTCTCGCCATAGCAGCCAAGTCAAGCTAGCCAGAAGCTCCCTGCACACACCCACCACATCCCAGGTCGGGAGGGGACCTGTGTCACACAGCAGCCATCAGAGTCATGCCTGGGAGCCCAGGCATCAGGGCAGAAAGGGGCCAGGACTTCCAGGGGGAGGGCAGAAGAAATTTTAAAGGGGGTGGGGAAGTTGGGATGGATAGCAAAGGAGAAGATGCTTCTGAGCTCCGGCGGCAATTTTAAGAGACGGCTGCCAGTTCCTTCACAGGCCTGTCATGAAGAGGTGGGGTCTCTGCCCAGTCCACTGTCTGGGCAGCCTGTGACTGCTGTGACCAAGAGCGGGTGGCAGAAGTGACACTAGACAGCATTCAAGGCTGGGTCATAACCAGCCATTCGGCTTCCTCTTTGTCCATGGCACTGCCCTGGGGCCGCCACACTGTGAGGAAGCCCAAGATACACGCAGAGGCCTCATGGTGCCATCCCACTTGACCGCCCGTGCTGTGCCCAGCTTCCAGTCCTCCGGGCACCCGACGTGCGCATGGAGACCCTTCAGATGATTCACCCCCCAGCGTGCAAGCTACCCTCAGCTGTTTGCGTCTTCCCAGCAAAGGCCCCAGACCTTGCGGAACAGAGGGGCCTAAAATTCTGACCCATAAAATCCATGCGTGAAATTCAATGTCAGTGTGAGGGTAGCTTGTTACACAAAGAAGTGAGTGAAACCGTCCTCTAGACCCGAAGGCAGCCTGACCAGAACAGGAAAGAAATACGCATGCTTTCCTCTCAACGCCTAAGGTTGGATTAGATGCTCACACAGACCCACCGCAAGGCTTAACATCAGGTCAGACAGTTTAGGAAACACGGGGCTAAATGAGCTTCTTACCGTGAGAGGGAACTTTCAAGAAGCCAAAGTATGAACACACATGTCCCAGAGGAAGATAATCAGGAGTGGGCTGGGGCACTGCTGCTGCCCCCGCCCCCAGGCTTTCCACCGAGAAACCACCCCTCCCCCGTGCTCAGCCCGCTGAGCTGCTAAAGTTACAGACGTTGGTTATAGAGCATTCTTCAGAAAGAATTTCTAAATATTTCTGAGTAGTTGAGCTGCAAAACCTTCTACTAAGAGAGTCTGAACCACTCACATGAACAAGCTCTTCTTGGTTCCCACAATTGTTTCTTTGCAGAGAGAAATTGCCCCCATGGCACCCCAGCTGCCTGCCCAGCCAGGATCCCCAGGGCCCAGCAGATTGTGTGGATGCTTATCCCAGGGCTGGTCATCTTTATCTGCCTGGACATCACAAAGGGAAACAAGAATTTTGCAGCCCAGATGGATTTTGCAAAAGTTAGTGCCCTGAGTGGCAATCACTGAAATGGCTGAGATGGATGAAATATCTTAATTTCTTACAGTGTTTTTAAAATACAAAGAGTGAAGGCTGCTCAGTTTCTAGAAGGTCTAATCAGCCCATTCCCATGAGCTGCCCTTCGGGTCCTGGACGCTAATCGTCCAGAGCAAGTCCACATCTAGAAAGTCAGTTTGCCTCCAGGGCCCCAGTGACATTTTCCGCAACTCCCAGTTATGACGGAAGCATCATGTCCCTGAAGTCCCCCCTCTGCAGATGAACCCCCTGCACTCCCCTCCGTTGCCTCCAGGGTCGCCACAAGTTGAGTGGGAAGGGTTTGTCAGTGGCCCGCACCAGGGTGTTGAACTCTGGGGAGAAGCAGGCTCTAAGTTCCCACATTTGGCCCTGACTTCACATGGCAGAGAAGGCCTTGCTTATAAACAAAATTCCTCGTTGCAGCGTGCGGGAATTAGCATGACTCACTGAGAAGATTTCTAAGAAAGTCACCCAGCTGCTGCCTTTCCCAGGTCCCAGCAGGCCAGCAGGCTTCAGCAAGGCAGCAAGAGCCCCCACAAAGCTCTCGGGCTGACGCCAGGGCCCCCGGTCAGTCACACATGGACGTGTGCTCAGCTTCCTCATCTGTAAGCTGGGATGAAGAACAGCCTCCGTCCCACCGGGCACGTCTGAGGCTGGACAGAGAATGTGCACGGCCTTGGACACGGACTGTGTTGGGTAACACCCCTCTGCCTGGGTTGGCCGGAGTCTCTGCCTCCCTGCAATTGACCGATTTGTCCTGGGTGGCTGAACAGACATGCCCCATGACACGATCGCCATGATTGCCGAACTGGGTCCCCGCATGCCCGCTGTGTAGCCCTAGGACCTAGCACAATGAGCTTGTACGTAAACGGGAGGATCACATCCAACCCAGCCCTGGGGGTGGGTCCCTTGCAAATGACTTCGAGCAGCTTCTAAGGTAGCACTGTCCAGGCTGCCTGCTTTCTCCCCACACCTGCATGCTCATCAGTCAGCTCACAGAAACCTAAACCGGTCCTCACATTCGATAAAGACAGTGTTTTTACATGGGCCCCAGGAAGTTCTGTCACCTGCGAGCCTCCAGACCCATTTGCTATTGTCTGGGGATAAGTAAAATACAAGCAAACAAAACTCCGTAAAATCACAGCCTGGAATTTTTTTTCATTCCCTCTTTAGAGAACCTAGAATCTGGTGAAAATGATGAACTATTCAACAATGACTTTAAAAAAACAAAAAACGGAGCACACATCAGCTTTAAAAAAGGGCACTTTATTTTCATAAAGAATTAAAGAGATCAATATACTTTTTAAAGGATACAAAAATAAATATTCATTCGGCATTATTAAAGATGTGTGCTTTAACATTCATTTGAGCAGAGAGTAAAGCCTATTGTTATCTGACATTTCAGAAAACAGGTCTGGTATCCTCAGAAATGTAATGCTGGCTTCTGTTGGCCAAAGAGAAAAAAAACACCTTTACTGGAGTTTTCCTATATTCTCATGTGAACTCAGGCACACCTGAAGGGCCTGGGATCATTAAGCCCTGCTGCACGCGGTGCCTACATCGCCTTCACGGAAGGAGCCATGGGAAAGTGAGCAGGCACTCTTTGGCTTTTCCACTGTAAATCAGAGACTCACCACCCTGACTTCTGCCACTTCCAAAATGAGGTTGACAGATGAGGCTCCTTCCTGCTGTTTGATATTCTGAGTCAGGGATGGTGGTGACCCAGACTGGGTTATCTTCCCAGGGAGAGCGGAAGGGAGGCAAACAGACCACCCCCACCCCTGACACCCCACCCCCGGGCATGTGCCTGACTCAGTCAGGTCTGTCAACAAGCCGCACCGGCGTGAAGGGGGCGCCTGCAGACCTGACACAGACTGGGGGCAGCCATGCAGTGTGCAGAATGCCCAGGTGGGTAAGAGGCACCCCATCTAGGAAAACACTTTGTTTAGAAAAAATGTTCAGGTGCATTTTAATCACAGAAGGGCCTTTAAGGTGGCGTGAAGACACAGTGCCCCACATGGAGGGTCACCCCCCAGCCCAGCCATTGCTCCCAGTCTTCAGCCTTAGCTTCTGATGAGCACCGTGATTTAAGGCAAACATTTGGACAGGTTTGGGCAGTAATTCTTCCAGGGCTAACCGTGGGCCTTCTCCTTTGGAATCCCCTATGTGACTCAACTGAAGAGTGGATTTGGTGAGGAGTGGGGACCTTGGACCTTGAGGAGGACCAGGGTTGGGGAGAGGCACTCCCCCTGCAAGGCCCACCCCACGGCCAGGGCAGCGATGAGAAGCTGTCCCATCCCATCCACAACCCCAGCCCAGTCCAGCCAGGCCACACGCTCAACACTGCCGGCTGATGAACAGCCTGAGGAATCTAAGCCTGAACCTAACGCACAATCAGAATGCTTATTCAATCCTCAGCTGCTTTTGAACTTGTGATTTCTATTCTGCCCACTTTGTAAAAGGAAAAAAGAATTGATTCAGAGCCGTTTACAAAAGGACAATTGAAAGTACAGATATTTTTTAAACAGGTCAAAGCCATTTAGAAAGAAGAATAGAGAACAGTATCTGGGATGATTTAATTACAGAAATGAAAAATAAATTTAGCCCTAAGCTTCCTGGCAACGAAGGCCCAAAGGGAAGATTTTCACTGTCTGAAGGTGACAACACAGCAGTTCACCTGCTGATAGAACCACTTTCCTGGCACCAAATTCTAGGAAGAACACATATTCTTCTGATCAGCCACGAGCTTTGCTTTCACTTATTGAAAGGAGGCTGGTATCTAAACATTTTTCAATCTTATTAACATGCTTAAATTGAAAAGGTAGTTCACAATGAAGCAAGCATATGAAACCGTGAACCTACAGCTCTAACAAAAAATAAAGACAAAAGGCAGCCTGGTTCTGACAAGTGGATCTTACACTCCAGAGCTCTTGACCGGAAGCAGCTACTTGCTAGTAAAACTGAATGCCAGGCCTTTGGAAATATCAATTAACCCAAAACGCTGAAAGAATCTAGCAACTAATGGCAATTGGGAAAAAATTCCTGAAATAAATGTTTTAATCACAGGTTGTAGTCACAGCACCCAGACCAGCTCAGGGTGTGCTTCGGCATTTGTATCTCAGCACCAGAACTGGGACACCACCGGGCTTTCAGCGCCGCGTCCTCAGAGAACGCCCTTACTAAATTAAGAGCAGAGGACAGCGTCCACCCCAGGTCAGAGGGGTCCATACCCTTAAATAATTACGACAGTAATTGTAATAACGAAATGCAGGACCTAGGCGGGGGGAGAGTGCCCCAGAGAGGGACTTAAACTGTGATCTGCTGGTTTTCTCTGAAAAAGGGTCTCTGGTGTGAGGCACAAATATCTGGAAACATTCGGAAGACCTGGTCTGGCTGGGGCTCCTCGGGAGCCTGCAGCACGGAGGCGGCACCACAGCTCTTCCCGGCTTCTTCCACCAGCTGCCGGACGTAGAGCTGCTCAATCTGGAAAGAAGGCACCCAAGGTCAGAGACAGAGGCGGGCAATGAGGTGGGACTTGCTCTGACCCTAGCCAGATTCTCAGCTGGGTGCCTTCAGAGCTGTCGTTCAGAACCTCCACGAGTCCCAGATGAATGAACCCGGAAGAGGCTGATGCAAAGAAAGAGCAAGTGGTATTCCTGCAAAAACTCCTATGTGTACTTTCCCAATGTTGTCCCAACCTCGCTAGCCAGTGTCCAGAATTCCATTATTAGAGTTTCATTCCTTTGCCTAGAGGTGAACAAGGGTCACTCAGACCTAAAGGCAATTTAACAGGTAGAATCTTTCTGAAAAGGAGGTTTCAATTTTCAAAAGAAGTCAGGGGGACGAGGGGACAACAGATTGTGAGAGTCCTGGAACATGAGAAGATGGTTCAGAGATGGAACCTTCCCACAATGGAAGGTCTCGCGCAGCCTGCTCTGTCCACAGGTGGAGAACCCCCATCCTTGCTACCTGTCCTCCAGCCCAAGCATAAAGTGAGTCCTGACATGTGGGCCGAGAGATACGGCCCCAAGCCCTGAGGCTGCCTGCTTTTACCTGCACGAGAATGAGCTTGGAGCGCAAGGGGGTCATGTCCGGAAACTCTTCTCCAAAGCACAGCACCACCCTGCTGTCGGGAAGCCGGCTCTGGTGGTTGTAAAACTGCTGCAGCTCTGGAAAGACATACAGGGTGGGGAGGTCAACTCCTGGCCCAACCACTTCTCCACCAGATGGACCCTCAGTGCCTTCACATGCAAGTGCACACATGCCACCTCGCCCACCTTCCCAGGGCCCCTTCTCCAGGAAGCCCCCATGAGTTCTCAGGCAGGGGAGCAGGAGACAGTTGACATCAGCCCCAAGCCAGCACTGTTACAGGGAGAGGAGCAGAGAGCTGTAGGCCCGGAGGAGGGAGCCGCACACAGCAATGCAGGAGGCCAGACTGACTGACCTCAGATGGCCTGACCTGTCGGGGGACGGGCAGGATGGGATACTGATCACAGGCAGCACACAACGTTAACAGCTCACGGCCACACTGCCATGTGCAGGTGCTGTCCTGAGGGCTCCATGCTCAAGGTCAACGTGTCTCAAGACATGCACGCTAATCTCCAGGGACCTGGCCAGGACCCAGGTTCTGACTCTGCAGGCCTGGGATGGGCCTGAGACTCTGCAATTCTAACCAGCACCCGGGGCATGAGGACACTTCACAAGGGAGCTGCAAGGTGCTGAGTTCCTTAAACTCCTCCCACAGCCACGTAGGGAAGGTACTGTGTCTGCAGCCCCCATTCCACATTCAGGGAAGTCGAGGCCAGAGAGACACCCCAGAATCACTCAGGGAGAAAGTGCTGGGCAGGGTCACATGCAGGGGGCGCCCCTGCTCCTCCACGGGCCACCCCTCCACCCGCAGGTGTGGGGCACGGGGGAGGGGCGCGACCTTTAGGCTTCGGAACCACAGACCTCTGAAGAACTGGCTGGTGTCGAAGACCTTGACCACCTCGTCGCGCTCCAGCTTGTTGGGTCTGTCCTTACACAGCACGGCGTTGCCGCTGCAGAACACGCGGCCCTGGCACAGCCTCTTGACGAGCACGCCCTGCCGGCTGCTCTGCAGCAGCACGCCACGCTCCAGGTGCCCGAACAGCTTCCGGGTCACCTGCCTCTGCCGCTCGCTGGGGATGGCATCGGCCGGCGGGAAGCGCACCAGCTCCAGGCCCTCGGGCCCGTAGAGCTTGGCACCAGGCGGGCCCGGCTGGCTCAGCGACAGGCGGCAGCCCTCAGGGCAGGTGGTGGTGGTCTGGCCCACCAGCTTGCCCCCGTAGTAGAAGCTGATGACCATCTGGGAGAAGGCTGTGGGGAAGAGGGGGACGGGTCAGGGGCTGCAGAGAAGGGGTCCCTGTCGTTCCTATGCAAGTGACCAGAGCCCCTCTTCCTCCTAAACAGTGCAGGGTAACTTTCTGTGGACCTGGGGTTTCTTTCACATGCTGGGGAAGTTCACGCACTCCTTCTAGAAACTGTTTTTAAAAGCATGAATAAATACACGGACTTACTAAGGATACCAATGATTCAAAACTAAAAGACAGCGTTGGAGGCATAGTGGTGAGCAAAGCTGCCTTCCAAAACTAAAAGACTAGTATGGTCCTTTTCATAGTTCTGGGAAGGTCTAGTGACTGCTGTAAGGTACAGGCCACGCTGAGGGTGAATGACGCTGTGACAATTAAATTTCTCAGGAAAATAGCTCCATCTCACAGACACCACTGAAAGCCTGTTATACAGTGTCATACAATAAACACATATAATGTTATACCATATATATGTATATGCTTTATATACTATATAAAAGTGTGGCCTGTTGCTCACATTCATACTGGAAGGAAATGCTAGATTTGAATTCCACGTTCATGAAAATGAGGCTGGAATCTTTTTTTGACAAATTCAGTCCCTCTGGGTTCCCAGAATTTCAAACAAAGAAATCTCCCTGAAACCCTTCATCCAAACCTGTTCTCAGAAAAGAGTCTGAAAAACACTCAAGTTAAGGCAACATTCCCCAAAATGTGCTGCACGTGAGATGACAGTGGGACACACAGCATTAAATGGGGGAAAAGATGATTCTACTTTCTGTATTCTCTCAATCTCTCATCTTGAGAAAAAAAGCCCCAGCCAGTGCCCATGGATCCTTAGCACCTAACCTGGCGACCTCTCCTTTCAACAAAGGGGTGGGGGAACTTGGGCTCTGAGCCAGTGACAGTCTAGCTAGAACTTCTGAACAGTAGGTTTCGCTGGACCTGCTTTGACCCCTGACCACCTACTTACAGCAAGTGGCACTGGGTGTCCTTGCAGGCAGTGAGGGATGGTCCCCATTTAAACAAACAAGTTTTAAAAAATGAGAGTTAGAGAGCAACAGAATGTTAATAATAATAGTATAATTAACAAGCAGTCCTCAGATATGAAATCTGATTGCAAAGGTGGGGCTCAAGTGACTAAAGTTTGGGAACCTCTAAACTAAGGTAGGAAAGAACACAACAGCTAAATTCAGGGAGGAATCAGCATTTAGGGCCCCAGACCAGTCCAGGGGTGCCTCCTGAACTGCCCAACTCCATGGAGCCCCCTGGAGTTGTGCAGTGCACAGCCTGCACAACCATCAGGGGCGGCCCTGTGGGTGGCCACCTACCTCACCTGAGTTAACGCTGCTGTGCACTCCTAATTCCTTAGGGCCTCCCACTGGGCTTGGCTCAACAAGCATTCAGTCAAATAGCCAGACTCCACACTGCTGCTCACAGGCTCCATTTTCTCCCACGTCAGAGTTAAATGGCTTTCTAGAATCATGCAGCGCTGGGAGGCAGAGCTGAGGGGCTCCTGTCCAGTTCATGTACTTGACACTTGGGGAAAGCGAGGCCCACATGGGGGTTTCCCAGCAGGCAGGCAACAGCGCTGGCTTCCGACCCCGTGTCACTATTCCCCATCCACCATCCTCCCCACCATGCCAAGGTCGTGAAGTCTGCATGCCTGGTGACTTGACACCATCCACTTCCTTGGCTCGGAAACAATTCTGAACTTTGTCCCAAATGAATGAAACACCCCAGTTGCCTGTGTCGCCACCATGCCCCTTTGCCCCGTCACGGCCGAGGCTTTATCTCGCACAGCGCCTCTCAGCCGCGTGAACTGGCTGCTCCAGAGAGAGCGGCAGGCGCGGTATTCCAGCGATGCCCAGATGGGGCTGTCCTAGTGACCCCACTGCCAAGACACTGGCCTGGATGGAGGCTTAGACAAGGCATGAGCTGGGTGGGCCTGGGCGAGCACACACCGCACCCTGCAGGTGGGCACTGGAGACCCACAGGGGACACACCAAGGTCCCAGGTGACCCGGCTCAGCCTTCCTGCGCTTCTAAGGGCCCCTGTGTGACCCGTCATGTGCCCCCCCGACTCACCCACCTGCTGGGAGCTGGGCCGACTGCAGGGGCTGCACGGCAAAGGTGCCAGGAGCAGAGCCTGGAGCCGCCTGCCACCGCACAGTCCCAGCTGTATGGCCTGGGCCTGGGGCAGATGACTTTACCTCTGTGCTTCCATTTCCCCATCAGCAAAATGGAGCTAGTAATAGCAGCCACCTCGCCGGGTGCCTGGGAGGCCTGACCTATTTGTGCTTAGTGCATTAGAAGCACCATATAAGCCATAATTAAATAAACTGGAGAACAGGATAAAAGATGGGCCACATGGATGAGGCTCCTGAAGTTATAAATCCTAGTCTCTGGTCTACATGGCACACACACGTGCTGAGCCCAGTGCTGTGGGCCTGTGAGCACATTTAATCCTCATGCTAACCGCAGAAAGTAGAAACCAGTCATCATTACACCCATTTTCCAGGTAGGGAAACTGAGGCAGACAGGTCAAGTGCTTGTCCTGCTGGCACAATGCTGAGGCGGGGAGACTGGCTTCACTCCCTCCCTGCCGGCTGGCTCCACATCTGTGTTCTTAAGCACCAGGCCCTGCTGTCAGCATTCAAGCGCGGTCCTTCCCCCAGTCACTGCAGACACACACTGCCAAGAACACACACCAGCGGCACGGGCGAGCCTGCATCTACCCCCGTGGCGGGATGCACTCCACATGGATCTGATGCCAACGTTTTATATGGGAAGGTTTCACATAAAATCCAGACCTCTGGTTTCTCTAGAAAAATGGGACAGTTGAGCCTGGTGGGGTGCGTGTGTCCCCAGGGCACCCACACGGTGAACAGTCCCATGGGCACAGTGCTCCACGTGGCCCAGTCTGTGCCGCTCCTGCCCGGCTCACTCATTACTATGCCCCCACAGGGCAAAGACCTGGGGACCCCTGATATCAGCTATTTACACAGTGGGGTGTGTGTGGGGGAACTGAACAGACGTACTAAAGTCCACAGCTTCTAGAAGGGTGCTTTAGAGTTGTAGCAGGAGGCAATGCCTGGGAGTTGGTGCCCCCACTGTGTGCCGAGGCAGCTGTGGAACAACGGAAGACACCTCCCCCTTGGACGGCGTCCCCCCCCACCCACGCTCCCCGTGCCCAGCTACTCTCCTGCCCCAGAAAGCATCGGTCAGCAGACTCCCCAGACCATAGCCCAGGGCTCAGCCGGTCAAAGGCCTGGTCCCGTGACCCAGGGCCTCCCAAAGCTGGGCCTCTGGTGAACAGAGTGGCTGCCCAGTGGAAAGCAGTCCCAAGAGCAGGCTTGAAGCCAGATGCCTGCGTTCGAACCCAGCTGTGTGACCTTGGGTGAGTGATTTAACCTCTCAGCCTCAGTTTCGTCATCTGTGAAGCCGGAGTGATGACAGTGCCCAGCTCGCAGGGCTTCTGTGCAATGAATAAAAGCTCTCTGAACAGAAGCGCTGTTTTTTAATAATTTCTTGCCGGGGTGAGAATCTGCCATCACCACCCAGACACTGCCATCCCGGAGGGCCTTGGTCAGGCACTTCTCTCTGGGCCGCGTTTCCTCCTCAGCACAAGGCCGCCCATCCCCCTACACTAACGTTCTGTGGCCCGTCCTGATGAGTCAGGTTATTCACTTCTCAAGAGCACAGCAGCTGTTGGGGAAGACACCAGCTTCCTTCGCTCTCAAGACACGGCCGATGATCCAGAACATAAACTCCAGAGGCCCCTGGCAGGAGCCCAGTCCAAGCTCCAGTGTGATCGGACAACCATGGGACACCACGCCAGCAAGGGGCAGGAGCATGGACAGGACAGCCTGGGGCCTATCCGAGCTCTGCGGCCCACAGGCCGTCAGACCCAGGGCTTCTAAGCCTGTGCAGTGACAGCACCAACCTAGGAGGGACGGGAAGGGGTAAGGAGATAAGGCCACGGAGGTCTCGGCGTTGATCATGGCTCCTAGCTGGCATTCAACAATGCCAGCTGCCACTGTCACCGCCATTACGCCTTCACCATCACCATTACCATCCTCACCATCACCACCATCCTCATTAGTACCATTGTCATTATAAACTTGGGTATGGGAGAGAGTAAAGGAAATGAGCTAGTGACAGTCGTTGATCTGTTATATCACCTAGCAGAAAGTTTTAGTAACACAACATTTAATCCTCACAACACTCCAGGGAGGTAGTTGTTATTATTGTTTCTACTTTATAGATGAGGAGTCTGAGGTCCCAAGTGGTTCAGTTACTCTGCCTGGGATCACACAAGCAAGGAAGGGCTGAACCTTGAGTGTCTGTCCCCACATTTTCTCCTCCATATTTATGCCTCTGAAGAGCTCCCTGGAGAGGCCACCGGCTTGATCCTAAATCAGACAACGGGGAGGAGGAATCGGGTTCCCGACCTCTGACACCGCGTCCTGCTCATGCATGGACCCTCACAAGCCCGCACAAGTTCCTCTCACTGTCTTAAAGAATGCCGACACACCCCACACCCAGCCCAGAGCACCTTCATACCTGCATGGTGCGCGTCGTAGGCCGTGTACCCCGTCACCAGTGGCAAGCCTGCCAGAGAAGGAGAGAAGCAGATTCAGAACCAGTCAGACCCAAATGTGTGCAGGGAACCATCCCAAACACTCCCCCTCCAGAAGTTTCTTAAAAAGCCACACATGGCGTGCTTCTGGGGCCCTGCCACAGGCTTCCGCTGAATTTGGTGTTTTTCCTTCCCAGCGCAGTGATCCGTGTTTCATAAATGCAGAAAACCAGACCTCAACCCAACCAGCACAGTTCGGGGGGAGACACTTCCTCTGCACTGTGGCATTTGGGGCCATGTGTCAGTGTGACACTGTGGGGCCACATTTCCTTCCCACACAAGGGCCTGCTCCCAAAGTATCCCTGGGCTGCACGCTGCCGTCCAGGCCTCGTCTCCAGAGGCTGGGCTCACTTTCCCGGAGGGGTCACTGCCGCACAGGGCTGTCCTCTCCAGGGCCCCTTCGTCAACACAGCCACCCCACAGCCTAGCAGCCTCTGAGGCCAGCTGGGCCAGCTGTCACCTCCCAGTCTCTGGGCTCATGCTTTCCAATAAAGGAGGGATTGAGGCAGGGCCTCGCGTGCCCCACGGGTCTGAAAGGCCAGGAGGCCCTAATCATCCCCCTTCATATGAGCTCGGCCTCCGCGGCAGTCGGCGCTCCCACCCTCACCTGCGCTGGGCTGCTGCATCCACCAGTCTGGGAGGAGCTGACTCCTGCAGGCCTCCGGCGGGGAGGGGCTCCTTTTGACCATCCCCATGTACTCGTCCACAGAGGGCTGTGCGTTCAGGGATGAGAGAGGAGGGCAGTACTGTCACTGAGCTCCCGAAGGGACTCCAGTGCTCGTGAAGAGGAACGGTTTACGCTTACCTAAAACCACACTGTCATCCTTACCTCATGAGACAAAAGGAAAGTTTTTCTTTACATCTCGAAAAGCCCAACGCAGTAAGTGCACCAGGCTTAGCAATCAACCACGTGACCGATTTACTAGCTTCTCCAGGCCCCTAGTAAGTTTACTGGCCTTTTACATGGAACTGCCTGTAACACCGAATGGCCAGTCTTCCAGCTGCCCTGACGGCCTGGAAAAGCAGGCACATTCTGCGACACCGATGAACAGTGATGCTGAACAAAACCCCACGCGTTAGCCATTTTCCCTCTAAGCCCCACATCTAGATTTTCCCTCTCACCTATTCCTCAAAGGATGTTGATAAACCCAATCAACCACTTTTCCTGCGGTCCCAGGGTGCGAACCAGCTACCTCCCTCTCTTAGCTGAGTTGGCAGAAAAGCCTTGTACAGAAAGCAGGACACTGTTGAAGTGACACGGAGGCAGGAATTCACTCAGTCTGCTGCCGGCAACCACCCGAAACTCAACAGCTGCGTCTGCAGAGAAGCCAGGCGGCTCCGCGCAAGGCACGGTCTGTTATCTGCCTTTTCTGGCAGCCTGGCTACTTCTAAGGATCCTTCTGCTGCCATGTGAGTATTAAAAAGAATGTCTATGCAGCCACACACCCTTTTGCAAGAGCTGTGCGGGATTACTTTAGCTATGCAGTGTCCACCACATAATATCCATAAAAATATAGTTAATGGCAGAATAAAAGGGCATCCGTATAGCTACAAGTGGCATTCAAAAACCTGCATGCTTTGTCTAAGGAGATCCCATAAGCCTTTACTTGTAGCCTACTGACTAGGAGTTGACATACAATTCTAACAGGCTCGGGTGCCTGGCTTTCCAACCCATCAAGGGCAGAAACCTGCAGACGAGCTGGGCCGCCCACCTAGGGGAGCTCGTACCATAATCCGTGTCGTAACAACAACCCCAAGCAGCAAGGGCGTTTCTGTCCCATTCACTTGTAGCCTCCCTAAAAAAATGGCAAGGGAATACAGGATGCGTTTAAAAGGCTGCTCTTCAAAATGTCTGAAAAATGAAAAGCTTAGAGCTTGAGGAAACTTTCCCTGCCGCGGAGCAGGCAGCTCAGCCCCAGCCATCGGGAGGAAGGGGGCTGTGCAGGGTAAAGAGGCTGACCATGCAGAGAGCCTGGCCTGCGAGGGTGGCCCACCCCTGTCCTGTCCCTGCAGGGCAGAGGCGCTGCTTCGCAGGGAGCCCAAGGCTCTGGAAGCCCCAGCAGGGCAAGAGCGTGCGGCTCCTCACCAAAAGCCACGCAGCTTCGGCAGTCGGGCCGGACCCTGGGAACACTGACCTCCTTGATCAGCTCCTCGATTTCAGAGCGGCCGCACTCCATCTCCGGAACTTCATTTGCACAGCCAGGAGTCGCCAGGCCCAGCTTGCCTGTGGAGGACCGGACACACACATGACATATGGCACAGAACCATCACAGTTGTCCTCAAGGCATGATCAGTGCCTTCTAATTGTTGAGTTGAAGGAAAGAAGTCAAGTGTCTTCATTCATTTGGAAAAGGCCTAGAAACATTTTCCCACGCTTCCTCAGTCACCTGATCAGCAGTCAAAAGACAGAAGCTGGTGGTTGTGTCCGACACGCAGAGGGCAAGGAGAGCGCTGTGGTCTCCTCCTCCTTTGCCTCGATCTAATTCACATCAGATGCACTTTACATCAGGCGCCCAACACCCTATAGAGGTTAAATTTACGAACTGGAGCATCTGAAGACACTCAAAGATTTCCCAGCAAAATGCGTTTGCAGGCTGGAGTCATTTTTTAAAGTTAATTGGCAGGAAATCTCTTTTTGTGCTTCCAAACACACACGTGTGCATCTGTACACACACCATGCACATTCCCAGCACACCATGAGACTCGCCTTCCTCAGGAAGCACTGAAGGCAGGTGCCTGGCTCACACAAGCACTCCAGGCCAGCTCACTTCTCCCCCGCACCTCTTCCCCGGCCAGGGACTTGCCTGAGTCGGTCACTGTGAGATGTGTCACCACCAGCAAACACTTGTCTGGAATTTGCTAGTTCCAATGAGCTATAGAATGGATCCGTCTGGACTGAATTTTTATTCCATTTTGATAGATTCAAGAATTCACCTAGAAGCTGTTGATGGGGGAAGTAGGGCAGGTGGGCACCCCCTCCAGCATAGCTTGCAAACCGCTGAAGGACACAGCAGCATGGGTCCAGTAAGACATTATGCAAATGCCATGTTTCTGTGCCCCCTGAGGACCTGCTGTTTCTTCTTTAACAGCCACCCTGCAGGTGATGCTGGCTGCACCCTGATCTATAAACAAGTGAGGGTCACCTGTCAGTTCAAGCTTGGCTGGTCCTGGAGGTGGGGAAACTTCTCTATTCCTTCAAACCACAGTTCACTTTGTGATAAAGAAAAATTATCCAAAACTGGGAAATAAGGCAAAAAGACCTGAGCTTGGCCCTTCGAAGCCCTCCCAGAATATTATCTAGGAGGCCTCCCCAAGGGCCATCTGCCTGTCCAGGGGAAGGTCATTTTGCTGGACTTACTGGTAACCGTGGATTAGGGTTCAGACTTAGTAAATTCACTGTGACTCTCCAGACAATCAGGCTACAGATGACCAGTAGGCCAGAAAACCCCCAGACTCTGTTGTGCTGCCCGGTCAAACGGTAACCAGACTGCTGCATCTCGGGGGCCCTCTCTGACTCACAGCCTGCCTCTCTGAGAAGGATTTGGAGGCCAGCACTGAGCTCAGTACGCGCTGACTGAGGAGTGATTGAGTGACCGGAGCACGGAAGCAGGCCTGGCGTCTGAGGCTCTCCCTGCTTTAATCTCCTCACAGAGGCTTCCTTGGGATCTTAGAGCTGGAAGGAACTCTGGGAATCCCAGAGTTCCCAAACAACGATCAGGACCGAACAGTGCCGTTGCCTGCAAATTCATTCAATAACTGTACCCTCAATCCTTATCATCATCCCTTCTTTTTCCACCTTATTTTCCCCCAGCCATCTCTGTGGGGTGCTAAAAAACAAAAGGAATTCCTCGTCCACACTGTCAGGGGATCCTTGCTCCTGTGTAGCCCCATCACTGAGCCCAGGCAGGTCGCACGACGCACTCCTGGTCCACGCAGCGAGCAGGAGAGTCGCTGCAGCCTGGTCTCCCCACCCGGTCCACCCGCCCACTGCCTCTCAGTCAACTGGAAGCTGCCACTTGATCAGCAGAGGGCGGGCAAGGTCAGCAGAAAGGGATCTCAGTGTCTGCTTATACGAAGGAGAGAACTGTTTTGTTTAGCTGAAACCACTCGCCCTGGACCCCGGGGGGGCGACGACCTTGACTCCAGACCCGGGCTCCCCAGTGGGGGCTGCCCGCTGCACAGCCTGTGCTGGGCTGAGTGCCCGGAAAGGATAGTTACATTTTTGCTCTTCCTCGGGAACGATGCGGTAAACTTTGTACGGCTCAGAAATGTCCAGCTGGGACCGGTCTGTCACTTCCTCAAAATCTGGGCTCTTGTTCAAAGCGCAGCGCAGCCTCGTCTTCCACGTGGCTGGTTCAGCCTTGTCCCCTTCCTTGAACTTCCCTTTAAACACTGCCCAGGCCTGAGGGAAGAAAAAGAGGCACGTGAAATACACAGCCAGCCCCTAGGCCACAGACACCCACGGCCACGGTCAGCACCACCACATGCGTGCCCTCCTGAGAGTCATTTTTGGCCATCAACCCATTTTCGAGAAATTTCAGGACTCAGACCTCAACCAGGCCGCTTCCTCTGACAGATCTGAAAAGTCCCAGGCAGGAAAAGGGTCCCCCAAGATGGCCCAACTGAGAGGGAATTCGAACCCAGACCTAAGCCATGTTCTCTCTCTCACACACGCACACGCACACGCACACGCACACACACACGCATGCGTTCCATCTGCTTCTCGGCAAGGACTGGAGGGCCAGGAGGAGCCTGAGGTCAAGAAGTACAAAGAGGAAGTAGCACAGGGTTTCACTAGATCGTTCAAAACAAAGAACAATTTGTTGCTTTTTCAAATCAACTCTTAGCTAAAACTTAGCACTGAAGAGGGAACATTTGCAAAAGGTCTGAATGCGGTCATCCACTGCCTGCTGCTTTTAATAGGCATTTTGTTTTGCATTTTGGCATTTGTTCTAAACTTCCCCGCTCCCCACCCCCAGGGCACTGTTTAAAATGCAATGCAATGTTTTCCCTCTCCGTCGGTTCATGCAGAGCTCCATCCTCTGACCCCTCCAAACCTTAGAAGCTGAACTAGGAACAGAAACCCAACGCTGGAAAATTAAAAAGTCAAAACACAGAACAGCACAGTATTTAGAAGACACTCCAAACATGTGAATGGGTGCAATTTAAAGGTTTCAAAGCTGGAATACAGACACATGAATCAGGAAGGCTCTGTCAGGTAAAAACGAGTTCTGGTGTGAGACAGAATCAGATGTGTTTCAGCCTAAAATAATGACTTCTGGAGGGAATTCTCACCCACCTACTCAGGAAAAGGCCGTTCCCAGAGGTAACCTTCCCAAGGTGACCCGGTTGGGGATTAAGCGTCAGCTGTTCCAACTTCCACCCCAGTGGGTTTCCACTGTTCTTGGGGTGAATGCATTTACCAATCCCCTGGGATGCACATGAAATGCAGATTCCTGGGCCCTGCCCCTCAACACCCTCATCTGGTGGATGTGGGTTAGGTCTAGAAATCTGCATCTTTAGCCAGAATCCCAGAGACCCTGACTTAGGTGGCCAGGAGGCCACACTTCCAGAAATACCTTAATACCCCAGTGAGTCACAGGTCCGTTTAAGAGAGTCCTGGCCTTGTCCCCTCATACAGGACTTGGCTCAGGGACACTGCTCCCTCCTCTGTGAATGCCCTGAGCCTAGAATCTGCATCTCTGTCTGAAGAAACTGGAAGAACATTCCTATTAACAAACATGGGCGGTCATTTCCTTTCTGACATATATGCAAAACTCCCCTGTAGCAATAGGTTTGAAAATAAATGGATTCCAATACTTTTCAATCTCCTTTTCAATCATTTATTAACTGCATCACTGTCCGTGCATTGATTTATTTTTTCCAAAGAAATATAAGCAAAACCATGTACACATTGAACAATGACTTCACATTTTTATTACGTTAAATTGGAGTTTCTCCACCTCAGCACTAGTGACCTATGGGCCTGGATCACTCCCTGCGGTGGGTGCTGTCCTGTGCACAGTTGGGCATCTAAGAGCACCCCTGGCCTCCACGCACTAGATGCCAGTAGGATCCCCACCCCCACCTTGTGACAACCAAAAAATGCCTCCAGACACTGCTAGGTGTCCCCCAGGGAGATAAAATCATCACACACACACACAGACACGCACAAACGCATACATGCTTGCAAACCACTGGATTAATCATTTTTACAAATGGACCATGAAGGGCATGGATTTGGGGGCAATGTTAGGACCAGCCGGGATTTATCCGGAATGCATGGCCTACAGGACACTGTCACAGGCACCCGTCATGCAGGCCCCCTGCTTGCAGCCCACCCTGAGCCCTTCTTGGGGTTCTCTGGCCAGCTCCAAAAGATCAGCTTAGCTGGGCAATCTCTCCAGACCCTTCTGGAGCTGACATCAGCCAGTAAGCTGAGGCCCCCACGGCCATGCAGCCATGCTGGGCCATACGCCTCCCACCCTGTGCGGCCCTGCGCTCACAGGAACCAGCGCCTACCGGCACCACAGACTCTTCCTGACTTCATGTTTGGGTCTCATCTTGTGCTTTAAAACCGAATGCTATTTTTTTCCTCAAAGATGTACTGGGTTTGAGTATCTGTGCTACTAGGCAAGTTCTGATCCATGTAGGCTATCACAGTGCCTGTCAGTGAGGACCACCAGCAAATCCTCACCCCCAGTTAACTAGATATCTCCCTCAATTTTGTGAAAAGGAGGCAAAATACTCTTAAAAATAAATATGAGCTGAGAGGAGGCCCTGGTCAGTATACTCGGGAAGCAGACACAATGAGCTGCACGTCTTTGTCTTTGTCTTTTTCAGTCTCCCGTCTCCCGTCTACACTGTGAGGCTGACCTCAGAATGATGCCTGCAGAGAATGAAGGTGTCTCCAGTTTAAGTGGCTTCTTATGATCCACTCACTGAGGCAGAAAACAGACCTTTTTTTCTTAACTCGCAAATATTTGAAAGGATTTCTTTGAATGTTGGAAACTAAAGGTTTTCTACTTAACCAAGAAACCTTTCAACAGCTCCATCTACTAAGGCCTGTCTGCTGACTTCTTCCAACAGCCAAAATCCATCTGGTTGAGGCGGAGCTCCGCCCCTAAGAGGATGGGAAGGAGCAACCCTTCTCGCGGACGCACCCGACGGGTTCTGCCTTCCGTTTCCACCAACCCCTGTCTCTGGCCCTCCGGATGGCCACCCGGCCACCTCTGAGTGGGTACCTGTCTCTCGCCCGCCCCCATTCCTGCTGAGATTGTAGACTCATTTCAGATTGCCACACTGAGCGACTGCGTAATCGACGGAAACATCGGGAATCTTGCACATTTTTCTCAACGCTGTTGAAACGGCCATGAAGAACATTGCATAAGATGCATAAATCTGGGGCTTTATTTCATCCCCCCCAGAGCTAAGTTGAAGCAGGGTGCAGAGCAAAGGGAGAGGCCACAGCCAGGGCCAGGCAGCCTGCTGATCCACCCCGGGCCCTAGTGGACCAATCTGCCCTGGGGCCTCAGGGCCCCATGCCTCTGCCTGACTCTCCAAGCTGGCCATGGTCAGACCCTAGCGGGTTCTCAGCAGGAACGGGAGAGGGTGCATCTGACAGTGCCCAAAGCATTTCTGGCGGTCACACTGGGAGACAGGGTGCTCCTGGCATCTGGTGGGTCCAAGCCAGGGGCACTGCTTAAAGTCCCACAGTACCCAAGAGGCACCCATGACAAGGAATTAGCTGGCCCTAGATGTCAACAGTGCAGGGGTGAGAAGCCCTGGTGTGCAGCCTCTACACTGGCTGGGTGGGCCTGGGGTACTGGAGAAATTTAGCCAGAACCCTTCCCAAGAGAAGCCCACCATGACGCCAGAGACAAACCTCCACAGGACAGAGTCACACGCAGAGCGAGAAAGGAGGCACCCGCCCCGCGGCCCTGGCTGAGTCCAGGCTTTGACCCGGGGTCCCGGACGGGAAACCTGCCAGACGTCCAGGCCCTGTGGGGCCTGCAAGGTGAATGCAAACCGTCCACATGTGCCCCCTTTTCTTGAGGAGGGCCAGTAACTGGCAGCAGATGCTCGACCCAGGTTACAGACTTAACAGCATGCTCAAACGTGCAGACCCTGCAAATGCCAGAGAGAGACCTGAAGGACTGAACTGCTTCTTAAGCCGACTCAGACCTACCTAAGCTCCACTCTGGGGCCCAGATATGACTGTTTGTCATTTGGGGGTTTTGTGTCAGAAGACAGCCATCCCTGGCTAAGAGTCCAGTGTGCTCTGGGGTCCCACAGGCCTTCACTCCCCTCACTCATCCACGGGCTGGGGTCTGACTCTGGCCCACTCCGGCCCTCCACAACTCAGCCTCCCCATCCCTCCCCGACTCGCTCTCCCCTCCCCATCTATGGCCCCCAAATTCCCACAGAACAAGTACACATAGAAGGCAGCCATTTGCAACCTGGGCTCTGAGTCAGACCACCTGTGCTGCATCTGTTTGCAAACATGGAAGCTTGGGCTCACCTTGACCTAGGGCTCCAAATTGCCCGGGGGGTGAAGCCTGCACTCCTGGGACCTTAGGCCCACAGGGGCCTCTGATGACCAGATGGGCTACACAGCTGGGTTCCCTGGCTCTGCCTGAATCTGGGTGTAATGGCAGAAATCTGTTTGGCGGTACTGCTGGGGGTGGGGAGCATGGGCTCGTGTTCGGGCTGCCCAGGGGCAAATGCTGGCGCCCTCATCCAGGAGCTGTGAGATCTTGGACAGTCGCTTCTGCTCTCGGTGCCTCTACAGGCAAGAACAAGAACAGTACCTCCTGCACAGGACCGTGTTGAGAAGGAAACAGAACAGAGCACGTGGGGCCGGGCATAGCCCAGGGCAAACTCCGTCAGCACCGGCTGCCACAATTCAAATGGCAGAACGAAACGGCCTGTCTCTCCTGCTTAGGGTGCTTACTATTCTCAAGGGAAGCACAGCTATTTTTAGACATGTGCTGCAGGTTCAGGACATCCCACATGCTCTGGTCCCAGAAGCAGCAGCAGATAGTGTCTCTCTCATCTGTGCCGATCCTAACATTGCCAACCAGAAGTTCTGACTTTGAAACAATGAAGACAAACCCTTCCTAGAATTCTAAATGGAATTTATACAGGAGCCCAGAGGGAAAAGGTTTTAGTCTCAGGGCACTGAAGTATTTTCTCTCTGTTTGCCAGTCTTCGTGCAAAAGACATGTAGTGTAGATAAAGAAAGTGCCCTCAATTTCCTCATCAGGAAAATGCCAACAATATACAACTGACCTCAGAAGGGGTTAAGTCACATAAGAGATATAAAATCACCTAGGATATCTTTTTGAGACAGATTCAGAAACTCAATGTTTGTTTTAAAAAATTGGATACCTTTTCAAGTAAATAAGGAAGACATCACTCAACACACCTCCACCAGCCCAGGTCAGGGGAAGGAGTTCAAGTCTTTACCTTGAAAATGGAGGCGTCGACTTCCTGATTATAATCTTGTTTGCCAGCGTGTTTCCAGGGGATCCGGAACATGCTCTTCTCATCATTTTCCCAAATCAGCCCTGGGTACATGTTGCTGTCGATTTGCTCGATCAGCCACTGCCGAAGCCGCCGGCCGCCATTCCGGTCACACATCCCTGAAAGAAAAAAACATATTCCATGATACTATAAATATTGTCTCATTAATCACAGCACCTGTGTGCTTAGCAGCCAAGAACAGCTAACAGGAGAATCAGAGGGTCGCGACACAGGTGTGGCCAACACGGCGTGGCTTGGGGGAAACCCACAGATCCAGGGACTCTGGGTCCCGTGCTGTGAGGACACAATGCTTGTCCCCAGGGCCTCCAATCCAGAAACGAAAACTGAAAGCTCCCCGGGAAACCCGCAGTGGCTGGACACTGACGCTGCCCACCTGGGGTTCTTGCAGCTTGCACCTCGTGCTCTGTCAGGAGAACACAGACGCGTCTGACAGCCTCAGCCCACTGTCAGCACAAGACGGGGGAAAGTCGCTTCTACATTTTCAGGTCCTTTCAATGAGCAGCCCATCACTCTAAGAGCCAATTCCATTATGTGATGCCCAGTCTGACCAGTGTCCACAAGCACATGTGACATTTGTGCTGAGAAAGAGGAACTCTCCAAGGCTATCCCTTCTAGATTGTTCCTTCACAGCTGGTTTAATGATAAGAGCATGAGTTTGGGAATGAGACAGAGCTGGAGTCCAGCCATCTCTCAGCTGAGTGACCCTGGGTCCTCATTCACCCCTGAGTGTCAGCGATACCAGCTGAAACCCAGGGACATGATGGGAACTCGGCCTCACTGCAGGGAAGCCTCAGATGATGCATGTGAAGCAGCTGGGACAGTGCCGGGGCATTAGAAGATTCTCTCTAAATAACAGATGTTATTATTACCCCAACTTTCTTCCTCAGGAACTCTTATGGCCAGTTGGACCAACAATGATGAAATCAGCTGCAGCTACAGAGCCAAGATGGCCAGGCTAGACTCTTCCAGAAGGCACCAGAGTCTGGGGACCTAACCGTCCCAGGCACCCAGAGATATCCCTTGGAAGAACATTCTTGCCAGAACAGGCAGCTTTCCCAACAGCACAGAAAGAGAACGCAATTATCCGTATCGACTCACAGCCCACATGTACAAGAATGGGGTGGAAATCCCCTAGGCAGTTGGAGAGACGCCCACCCAAAAAAAAAAAAAAGCATTTCTATTCTTCTGATTAAAATGTGACTTCTTCAAGCTAACACGTTAGTGACAAGACATAATGTCCCCAAGAATACAGTCACACCTAGAACCATGAGGTCCATAAAGCAAAAGTGGGTGTTTTGTTAACCTGACCTGAAGGTGACTGTGGGATCAGAAAGGGGGTCCGGGTCCCAGGGAATGTGAGGTCCCATTTTCACCCAACCACACCAAATGCCTCAGGTGGATATAAAGGGGCAAAGTGTGTGAAATAGGAACTGGACATGGATCTGGAAGACTCCAGAAAAGGCTCTTGGGACAGTCACTTGAACCTCGGTAGGTGCTCCTCACCTGCACAGTGAGTGACTCCCAAGCATCCCAGAATTCTGAAGCAGTCCCTTGGGTTTATAAGTGAGAAGGGACAGGTTTGGGAGGGCCACCTAGTGAGAGAAATGGAATGACACCAGCAGCCCCAGAAAATAACTTAGGGCACAAATTCTGACAGATCCCTCCTGAAGGACAGATGCAGGATGTCCCCTAGAATGAGGAATGAGCTGCATGGACAAGGGACACGGGGGCCAGAACACAACAGAAGGACTGGTGTCTGCAGATCCGTCAAGAGAATGAGGCGTTCCCAGCCATCAGCATTTTGCTCAGCCCCTTAGGACAAGGTTCAAACTACACCCATGCTCCAGGAGCCTCCTGAAATAAAAAGTAAAATGTTCTTTATGTGGTTGTTTCTCTAGTAAGTGGGTCAGCACCTTCCTATCAGGATTTCTAATGGATTCATAACCCCAAAACCGTTAAGGTCAAGAGCCTTGGTGATCTACAAGACAAAGAGGAAAGGCCGCGAGAGAGATGGCACTGAGAGGAAGAGCAATAAAATGGAAGTGCTGGAGAACAGCCCCTCTTTCTGCAGAAGAGTAAAAGCCGAGGCCCACACAGGCCCCGCAGATCTTACTTCAGTCACCCTGCAGAGAGGAGCCTTGGCTAAGTTACGCGGTCCCAGCACATGCGCAGCCCCGCCCGGACGCTCACTGAGGTCACCTCCGACATTCCAAGCAGCATTCAAAGCCTACGATTCTAGTACAGTGATCATCCATACTGATTTGTCGAACACTAATCGATTAATTCCACCAAACGCAGAGCCAGGAAAAATTTATAAGCCTAGTCACATGTTCATAACTTCCTCTTCCTCGATTTTTAGGTAATAATTCTTCTTATGGGCCAACTCCGATCTGGAGCTAATCATCCCCATAGACGGGAGCAGGCCCCGCGTCCCGGGCAGGAGGTGATGGGGCTGCCCTGGGCCCACCCAGCCCGGTTGCGGCATGTGCTGAGCCCCCACCCCACGTCTCCCACACCACCCAGCGCCCCGGGGCGCTCGCCGTGGCCGCGCAGACCTCCATCCCCACGAGACCAAAGCATCAAGGCCTCGTCTCCCTCGGCCACCGTCTGGCTGAAATGACTGCGACACTCCCAGCTGTCTCCATGAGAGACCTGCCAGGGGTCAGGGTCGTCGTTTAAGGACCGCTTCCCACTGAGGGGAGAGCAAGCGGCTGTTACAGCCCCGTGGCCGGCGGGCAGTTTGGAACGCCGGCAAGCCCAGCCTCCGGCTCCACTCGGAAAGCGCTGCACAGCTCCGGGCGAGCGCCCACCTCCCCTCGGGAGGGCCACCTGTGCCTCGGGCGCCCTACACCGACGTGCCCCTTAGCTGTGACCCCCGCGCAGCCCTGCTCGCCGGGCACGGCTGGGCGACGGCGGCCGCGGAGACCTCCAGCCCGCTCGGAAATCCCAATGTCATCACCCAGACAGAGGGTCCGGTGGGCCGGCTCTCCAGCTGACCCCCGCCGCTGCGCCCGGGCGCTGTCCCGGAGGTGGGGCCGAGCTGCACGGGGAGGGTCTCCCGACGAAGGCGCAGGACGTCCCTGCGCTGCCCGGGCCGCTCCAAAGCCCTCGGCGCAAACCCGCGTCTAAGAAAATGGGATTTCTGAAGCATCGGCCAACCTGGGGAGCTTTCGATTAGGCCTCGGGAGGGACCGAGGAGGGTGGGAGCGGCCCAGCCACCTGCCTACCTGCCGCCGCGCCGCGCGCCGCCCGCCTTCGCCTCCGCCCGAGTTCCCACGCTCGCCGCCGCGGCTCCGGCGGATCGGCTGGTGGCTCGGCGCAGCCGTGGTTTTAAGGGAGGGGGCGGGCCCGACGCGCGAGCGACGGCCGCGGAGGCCAATTGGCGCGAGAGAGCTGCCGGGGCCGCCCAACGGGCGTGGCCCGCCCTGCCCGCCTTCTTCGAAGCCCTCGGCTTTCCGAGAAACGGCTCAGTGAGAGGCGGCGGCCGCTGGCGGTCCGCGCGCCTTCCGGGGTCCGCGCCGAGGTCCGGGGGCGGCTCGGGACCGGGGTCCCCGCAGAAATTCCCAAGAGGCGCGGGGGCGTCCTCCGGCCAGGCGGAGGGCGGAGCCAGAGGTGCGCGGGGCAAAGGCCGGTCCCGCCAGGCCCGCCCGGCCGCCGAGCGGAAGGCGGGACGGAGCAGGGGCGGCAAACCCCCTGCCGCGGGCCGCGGGCCGGGACAGGACCAGCCCGGGACGGGCCTGCAGCCCCTGCCCTCTGAAAAGGAGAAACCCAAACTGGAGCGTCTAGCATGTGCGCGCCACCAATGTCCACTTAGGGAAACCCCCATCGGCGGCGCCTGTCCCCAGAGATCATCCGTAGTGCCCGGGAAAGGGGTCCTCGGTTGCCATCCTCAGATGGTAACTGGCCTTGACTGTAAGTATGCGAGTGCAGGGGGAACACCGGCGACGGGAATGAGAAAGTCCTGGAAACAGAAGGAAAGAGACATGTTCTCCCGAGTTTCGTTCTGAGGTGGCCTGAGAATAGAGGAAAAGGAATCTGAGACTTTTATCCTACCGCCCTGTTGGCCAGTCATACCCAGGCGGTTGATGGGGCACCAGTCATCAGGCTTTCCGAGGATCTACGAAACTGAGACCGGAAAACTACTGACCCCAAAATGCAAAAAGACCCCGCAAATTTGAAATTAATGAATGTTAAAGAAAGGTCCTCGAAACATGTCATGTCAACTTTGCAATTATAGGTTATTTGTTGATAAACTTTTGAAAACCATGTGTTAGGTTAGAAATCACTTGGTAAGAATGTCCTAATACCGTGATTTCAGGGAAGTTGTATCACCCGTTAAGTTAAATGAGTCCTCCATCACCAAATAGTTTCAAATTAAAACTATTATTTAAAGCCGACATTCCTTAAAAATATTTAGTTTAGATAAGGCGGGAATATTTTAATACGTTTGGTTTGATATGGGATGAGTTTCCAGAACTCAGTGCCTAGGACCTAAAGTTCTTAAAGGAGCCTGCCATGTATGTTTATGCTCACATCTTTTCACAGATGTGCCCCTTGAGGCCCCACACAGATGACCTGCAAAACCTGCCCACTGCACAACATGTGTGCTCAGATTTCCACTCAACACTCCACTAGAGTAAAGACAGGTGCGAACGAATACAGAGAAGTCAGCAGTGGAGGGGTCACCTCACCTGTTACTGGCGGTGGGATCACTATATACATGGCAGGGATAGTTCCCAATATACTGGCTGGCACTAAAGCTGCTATGAAACCCCGTATTTTCGGCTGCCTAAGCACAACTTCCAGCTTTATCTGTTTAGTTCTGTTCTTACTTAATGAGCATTTCTTGAGCAACTGCTAAATGGTAGGTATGGTGCCAAGGACAGGAGACCTGAGACGAAGTGCCTCTCTGATCCCTCCTTCCTCTGCGGTCACCTGCTGGCCTCCCATCACCCTACTCGCCCTCCAGCCTCCAGATCATGTCCCTGATTGTCCTGCTCATTGTTCCCCTGGCTTAAGCTTTTCTCCCTGTGACGGTTCCTGTGTGGCTGCCACAGCAGGCCCGGGTGCTCATCTGGGCATCTAGAAACCATACGCTCAACCTCCTCTCTCACATCGGCCCACAGGAGCCGCCTTCCATGGTGAGCGGCCTGTCACGGCAGATAGAAGGAGCCAGGCCCCAGCGCAGCTTTGAGTCCCCCAACTAAATGTGCAATCCTGAGCAAATGACTTAACTCTCCTGGGCCTCGGTTTCCCCATCTGTATAATGGCACTGATGATGATATTATGTGAAATTACCAATATCCAACTGTTATTTGACCTACAGAAAGGGCAACCCTACCTTCCTGCCTCTTAGGATTAGGGAGGGTCAATGTGGGGCACGGGTGGGGACCGGCCAAGGGAGTCAGTGAAGAGAGTTCTCGGGAGAGAGCACGGGCGTTGCCAAGGCCCCACTTCTCCCTCGGCGCTTTCCAAGCCAGCTGGGTAGGGGGGTTTCAGAGAGCTCTGAACGTGCTTGCTGAGAGAACAGGTGCCAACTCACTCCTGAAAAAGCCAAGTCCACCTACAGCAGGGCTCTGACTCCTACGCTGGAGAGCCATAGGGCAAGGGAGGCCCTGGGTGGTGGCCCTGAGACCAGGGAGCCACTTGAAGCCCCGTCCCTTTTACTGTTCTTACCTTCATTAAAAAAAAAAAAATCCTAAACTCTCTCTTCATTGCCTATGGCTGCTATACCATTACCAAAAACGGAGTGGCTTATAACAACACACGCTTACTGTTTTTCAGTTCTGGAGGTCAGAAATCCAACACGGGTCTCCTTGGGCTGGAAGCGAAGAGTCCGCAGAGCCACAGTCTCTTCCAGCTTCTCTAAGCTGCGTTCCTTGACTGTGGCCCCTTCCTGCATCTCCAAAACCAGCAGGGGCGGATTTTCACAGCTCATGGCACAGCGCTTTTCTGCCCCACCTTGCAATGGAGCGAACGCTCACGTCCCCCTGTGACCTCAGATGTTGGAATCCTGACTCCTAAGGTGATGGCATTGGGAGGTGGGGCATTGGAGAGGGGATTGGGTCAAGACGGCAGAGCCCACATGATGGGATGAGTGCTCTTACAGAGGAGACTCCAGGGAGCTCCCTCCCCCTTCCACCACGGGAAGACACAGCGAAAAGGCAGCCGTGTGGGAAGGGGGCCCTCACCAGACACCAAGTCTGCCCACAGCCTGATCTTGGACCCCTCAGTCTCCAGAACTGCGAGAGGGGTTTGTGTTCCTTATAAGCCACCCAGTCCATGGGTTTTGTTATAGCGGCCCAAACAGATAAAGAGATCCCTCCTCCACATTTAAGTGCCCTGGGATTATATTGGGTGGATATACATATTGCACCTGGAGAATCCAGGACACTCCCTACCTTCAGGTCAGCTGACAAGCAACCTTAATTCCATTTTCCTTTGCCAGTAAGGTGACATATCCCCAAGACCGACAGATTAGGACATGGATGTCTTTGGGGCTGTTACTCTGCCAGCCACACCATCCTTAAGATTCAACCCAAGTCATGTCTTCTTCACCACCCAGCTTTCACTGACCCTCATTTTGAAAACACTGGACTCCAGCCACACTGAAATCTTCATAACACAACTTGGGGCTTAATGTATACATTTATGAATGTCCCTGAATTGATTCAGAGACAAGGGCAAAATCTTCCCCTGGTTCAGTACTCCTGCTTAGCATGCAGTGAATTAAGGGTGTCTTGAGTAGACAAGTTTAAGTTCATTGCAAGATTAGGAGAGGCAATCTCAGGAAAAGAAGCCAGAAGGATATTTGTTCATCTCTGGGCTCCAGATATGTTATTTTTTATATTCCTCTGAGTACAAGTTGGGGGCCTCCAACAGCACCCCCAGGTTCACAGACTCACTAGGAGCACCTGCAGGACTTAGGATGTAGTCACACTTGTAGCCAGGATTTGTTATAGTGAAAGGGTGCAGAGTAAGATCAGCAATGGGAAGAGGTGCTCGGGGCGGAGCCAGGGGAGCCAGGCACCCGCCTGCAGGGCCCTCTCCCAGGGGCGTCACACAGACCCGCTTGACTCCGCAGCAGCGAGCTGTGGCAGCGCATGTGAAGTGTCCACCCGAGAATCGCCTTAGGGACTCAGTGCCCAGGGTTTTACTGAGGGCAGGTCAGTGAGCCCCCTCTGACCGGCACGCAGCAAAATCCTGAGCTCCCAGGGGGAGCAGGTGTGCCACATGGGCCAGGTCTGCACAGGTCAGGCACAGAGCCACTCAGCAGGCCTGGCAGTGGTGAGACCCTCCCCACATCCATGTACCTGATGCCAGCCGAGGCCGGCCTTGGAGGCAGGCCTTTCTGGGGACTGAGGGCTCCAGCCTGGGTCTTGGCTCACTTTTGGACATGCTCCTAATTCTGGGGGTTGGGAGTGGGGTTGACATACAAAACTTGCTACCCGGGTTGCAAAGGTACCTGTGGCTGTCTTACCTGCTCTTAGCTACCTATGTTGCCTTCCATTAACTCGGGTGAGCTGAGTCTCCTCCTCCTTCACAGGGGCCCTGGGTCCATGCTTGAGGACAAAGGAGCTGCCAGGTGGCACCTTCCAAGAATGGCGGCAGGAAGATGGCCTCTCTCAGGGTGAGTCTCTCTGCCTGCTGCACAGCCTCCACATGGGCCAGCACCTGGGAATGGCTCTTCCCAGCCACAGAACCCACACTGACTTAATCAGACACAGAAATAATCAGACACAGAAACATAAGAGGGATGGAAGCTCTTTTCATCTTTTCTGCTTTAAAGTTGTCAATTTTATCTGTTCTCTGGATGGCCCACACCCCATGGTGCCTGCCAGTCCCGGCTCTGTCCAGCAGCCACAAGGTCCCAATGGGCCCCTCTGCCTTTTCCGTCTTCCCAGGTTTGACCTCTAGTGCCCTCCAAGGACAAGTCTGGGCATAGAAACAGTTACATTTTTTAAATTTTCCCTGATTGCATATTTCCAAAATAACGGGGAGCAGATGAGACAGTTGCTGAAAATTCTCTGGTAGTCAGGAAAATGAGAACGGGGGTGGGCCAAGATTTCTTAAACAGAACAGAGAAAGCACTAACCATAAACGGAAAGGTAGGTACTTTGTACCTCACTAAAATGTAGAGCTGTGTTCATTGAAAGACAGCATTAAAGAGTACAGAGCAAGCCACAACAAGGACTTTTTCAAGCAAGGACTTATATCCAGACATAAAAAGAAGTCCTATGAATCAATAAGGGAAAGACAGGTCCTCCCTAAATTCTCAAGCAGAGGTAGTTTACTGTATGCACTTCTTTGCTGCCAGATATCAGACCATTTTAAGTCAGCAAACGCAATAGGGAAAACGGCACTACAGAAATGTAAGTTGCTCAGCAATATTTGAGTTGTTGCAACATTAAATTATCCACTTGGTTGTTACAGAAACATTATCAAGTGATGGTTGTGGCTGTAATGGTTATATTGCCCATGCTTCTCTCCCTGGTACTGTCTTTATGTGCCAGGTTTTAACAGCCTTGAGCCTGGGCAATTGCTCAGGCTTTTTACAAGAAACGTGATGTACTTGCACAAAGCCGGTGAGTTTTGAGAGATCATTAATGTCCTTGAAGTGGTTTTGTGGGTGTGAAACAAATAGTAAATTTGAAATTAAGTCTGCCTGACTCAGTGAGGCAGTTCATGCCCCGATTTTTTATACTTGTGTCTGTCAGCAAACACTGTGATACTTGATGGAAAAGAAGAGAAAACTGACCAGCCGCTGTACCAGCCAAAGAGCCAGAAGCATATGAAAAGGTGAAGAGCATACGCCAGGGAAATGCAAACTAAGAACCACAGTGAGGCACCGGCCACCAGCACGGCTGACATTGATGAGACTGACATTTACCCAGCGCTGGAAAAGAGGTGAAACAAGCAAGACTGTCATACGCGGCTGGTACGAAGTTGGCACAATCACATTCGAAAACAGGTCAGACTTATGCCTCCCCTAAGCCCAGAACTCCCCCTCCTAAGTATATCTCCATGAGAAATGAGTGCATGAAACTCATGGAGACATACATGGGAAATTAACTGCAGCTGTATTCACAGGAACCCCAGATGTTAGACTGGAAATAGCCCAAATATCAATCAACTGGAGACCAGATAAGCCGCGGCAGTATGTCCACACGATGACATACTACGGAACAGTGAGAGGGAACAAGCCATTGCTACGCTCACCCGCACGGTGAGGCCCACACACAAGTTGCTGAGTGGACGAAGCCAGAGCAATACAGTGCCTGGGAGTCTTTCATTTACACAAGTTCAACAGGCAAACCTTCCTAATGGCGGAGATCCTTGTGGAGGTGACTGACAAGGACAGCGGCTGGAGCACAGACTCTGCCCCCAGCTCCCCGATCAGGACCCGGGCCAGGCACATGCACGGGCCGCCGGTGCTGGAAGGTCCGAGACCCACCTGGGGAAGCCAAGGGCTGCTTGGGAGTTGGCAGCTTCTCCTGGCAGATAAGGAAAAGGTTCGTTCATTAGCTTATTCAATACAGAATAAACGGCTACACTTTATCAGCTAGTTAAACACACACTGTGTGTGTGTGTGAGTGTCCGTGCACACTTAGTTGATTCTCCTCTTGTGAGATGGTGAATTGGTGCTGACTCAAGGGCCTTGGGAAGAGAAATATTCAAACATAATGAAACAGGTCTGCTCTAAAGATGTGAACTTTAACCCTCTCCTGCTTAGATATAGTTTCTCTTTTAACTGAACCAGTTGCTCTGTTTGTTCAAGGTGGATTTAGATGATAATTTACTAGTTGCTAATATTGCCCCAGTCAGTATCTTTAGAAGATCAACAAATAGAAGTCTGAGATAAGCCTATGTTTGGTTATATCCTAAAACTCATTACTTTTAAATGCATTGTTCATTCATTGATTAGATGTTTATTAAATTCTGGCAATGTGCTATGTATCTAATTCACAGCCATCCTCCAAGAGGGGTCAATGTGTGTAAACTTTCATGTAAAGAGAAAGAATTGCACTCAGCATTCGATAATCATTTTGCCTTTCAAATAGAAACTTATTCATATCAATTACTAATGAAAGAGCTTGCAACAGTGTTGAAAAACCTTCTTCAGAGTGAAAGGATTCTAAGTATAGATCAAAAAATCTACAACCTTTAGGGCTATTGCTAGGATATACTGCTTTACCAAAAACAGAATTGCTGACATGTGGCCCAGGTGACCATTTTAGGCTTTACTATGACAGGTAACACACTGCTTACTCAGTACATTTGGGATGGGACCTGGGAGTCTGCCTGCTTCACCAGAAATGCTGAATACTCAGTCAGGGTATAGGTGTCCATCGCCAACTTACCTTTGCAGACATGCAACCGATCTCTCTCACAAATGCATGGCTCTAGCGCAGGAAGAATTAGCACAGCAATAAGTATTTACCTCTTCAATACAGTCACAGATTTTGAGGATTCTAAGATGTGTAAACTGGAATCTTCACCCTGGTTCTCAGAGACAGCACCAAAAACTCTGGAACAGTCTGTTTGTAAACACTCTTCCTTTCATACTTTGTAGCATATGGGAGTTGTGTGCCAGCAGGCAGAACTGCCCCCATGTTTGCCTTGGCCACCCGGTAACGAGCTATGCTTTAATTACCTTTCTAAAAGTGGGATGAAGTGCCTGCCAAGGTTGACAGCTGCTCTCCCTGGAAGTACAAAAGGAACAAGTTGTGGATCACCAGTGACAGCTTTTTGCAGGAGGTGGCCCTGTGTCATGGGCGAGAGGGCACTACCAGTCAATCCAGGCCCCTCCCGAAGCTAAGACTCCGCAACTTCATTGTCACCCAGCAGGTCCTCAGCAGAGATTTCCTGAACTGACACTGGTAAATACCCACCAGGTCTGGGTCCTGATTTCTTGTGCTGTACCTGCACGGTTGGCCCAGGTGTGCCACAGAACTACCATAAAGGTGGGATGCAAAGAGACAGAAGGCACAGCAGTTCCCAAGGCCCCGGCATAGAGTCCCTTGGGTTCCCTCGCTGCTCTGTAGAACTCAGCCCGGGGAACGAGCGGGAAGAACGGACTCGCTGCGCGGGCCTGGAGAGACTAGGGCAGCAGCTTCAGTCTGCAGTTTGCTTTATCTTTGACAGAACACTGGACTCCCAAATCTTCCCAAAATGATCCTGCAGGCCGGGACCCGTATGGTACTCTGCATTTGACTGGTGGGGAAGCGAAGCTCAGAGAGGTGGAAGCTCCTGGCTTCAAGGCCAAGGTCTTTCCACTCTCAGCTGCTTTGCTCAGGGGATGGAGGTGCGGCCCAGAGCACGGGGCTTCCTTGGAAAGATTCACTCTAGTTTCCTCTTCTGGAAGATTAGAGAGTGGAACTGGCCAGGCATTACAGTTTCTTCCAGATCTAAAAGCCTAACTTGTCCAGACAGGGCTACTGCTACACGCCAACAATGAGCCGACTGTGAGGTTGGCAGGGAAGGAGCCGGGGACACGAATGGCTGAAGTGTCTGTCACACAAGTTGGTCATTTCCTTCCTCACAGCCTTCCGCTCATTCCGAGCTCTCCGTGTACACTCTTGTCACCCACTCACGCAAATAGATGCATCATCACGCACGAGTCAAGCTAGAGATCGGTGCGAACGACACCTGCCTCACACTCTGCCCCTGCAACCCATGTGAAAGCCGTGTCTGGGTGCGGGTCACGGGAGTTCACACCAGGCCTAGGAGCCGTGTACCTTCTCTTTCTTCACTCAGCCCCAGTTCTTCGGGTTGCTCTCGGGACCACAAGGGGTTTGTGAATAATTCTTCTCTTTGTGATAGTAATTACTCTCTTTGTAGAATGATTTCCAGGATCTCCTTCAGATTGAAGTAAGTGGAAAACTTGATTGCTTCATCCCAAGATGCAGGATTCTGGAGAGAAGGGGCGAGCTACACGTGACTGCCAACCCACCCCATCCTGAACAGCTGTGGTTAGCCTTTCAAGCTCTCGATGTCAGATTTCTTTTCCCTAAAGACTATTCTTACTTTTTATCTCCTCATCTGCTGTTTGGATTAGGTTATTTACTGTTTCTACACATGAATTTCCTCTAATGATGGTACAGACTGAATGTTTGTTTCCCCCCAAAATTCATATGTTGAGGCCTAATGCCCAGTGTAATGGTATTTGAAAGTGGGGTAGGTAATTAGGTCATGAAGGCAGAGCCCTCATGAATGGGATTGGTGCCCTTATTTTAAAAAAAAGACCCCACAAAGACCCCTCACCCATTCCACTATGTGAGGACACAATGAGAAGGTCTATGAACCAGAAAGTGCCCTGTAAATGGAAGTTACAAAGGAAAACATGAGCGAATAGAGACTATACCATGCTCATGTATTGAATAAAAAAGGGCCAAGACAATTTTAAAGACTAATATAGAGAACTTGCCTACCTGATATTTGTCAAAAATCCGTTGGAACTGAGAGAATGTGATAGGGTCGCAGGTTAGAGACGGACAGCAATGGAACAATGGGGTTGGCCCAGGACCGCCCCATGTGTGATGCATGATAGAGGAGGGGTCAGAGGTGGGCTGGCTAATGAATGGCTGACACTGACTACCTATGTGGGAAACCAAAGGAAATTAATTCTGTGTTGCACAACAAACACAACAAAATTCAGATAGATTAGAGGCTTAATTGTAAGAAGCAGCAAGAAAAAATCCTTAGAAGAAAATATAGGGAAATAATAAACCTCTGAATAGAGAAGGATTTTTTAGACAAGACACAAAAAGCATAAACCATACAGGAAATGATACATTTAAGTTTTTTATGCCATGAAAGAAAGAAAAGGTAAATGAGACTGCAGGCTAGAAAATACTTGCCACAAAGAGGAAAGACAGACCATAATCTAAAAAGTATAAGAATTCCTATAAAACTACAAAAAGAAGAAAAAAAGGCAACTAGAAGAAAAATATAGAATTACCATATGACCCAGCAGTTCTACTCCTCGATATCTACCCAAGAGAAATAAAAACATACATCCTTGTAAAAATTTGTATATGAATGTTCACAGCAGCAATAGGGCCTTGATTATATCTGTTGCATTTTATATGATGACAACAGTCTGAAGGGAATATCACATCATGTTAAGATCCATAAAGGTGGATGTTCATTGCGTTATTCTCTTCTTTCTTTGGCACGCGTTGCTCCCCTGCAATGTTCACATGAACACACATGTGATAAACAAGGAGGTTGACAGGCAAGCCACTTGAGGCAATGTCCAGAAAGGTCACCGAGCCAGAAGCCTGGCTGCAAGGCCCCGGGCCCGGGCTGGGGGACTGGGAGAGGGGCTCCAGGAACTCAGGATTCAGCACTGGTGAGCATAGAAAGCCTACAGTCAGGGCGCCCCAGAGGGAGGGTGGGACTGTGTGGGAGTGTGTCTGGGAGTGAACGCCAGCAGCCAGAATAGCCTAAACTAAAGGCAGAGATGGGATGAAGGGCAAAGCAGACATGGGAAGCAGGTAGGAGGGGCAAGTCAGGCGAGCACCAATGTGCCCACGCTTACACGTGGAGGCGAGGCCACTCTTGCAGCAGGACACCTCTGGGACAAAGAGAGAACTCTGCATCGCTCCGTGGAAGGGGACTGATGTCTTAGCCTAACTGGAGAACATGCACACAGCGTGTGCCGAATGACCAGGAGGAACACAGAAGAGCGACTGTAGTCTCCATTCTCAGGAAGCCTCGGGCCTCTCTGGTGGGGAAGACGGGACAGGTGGTAAGTGGGAATCCCTACCATCAAAGCAAAACAAGTAGGCAGGCAGAAGGCTGCGAGCAGGGCCGGCGCCACGGGAATCCGGAAGGGAGCAACCCGGCAGCGGACAGCCCAGCCTGGTGACGGCTGAGTGCCTTCCCGTGGGGCTGTCTGCCGGCGCTTCTGGACAATCAGGCGGCCGGAGGGGCTGAGCACCAGAGCCCCCATGTACACATGCAGAAGCCAAGATGCAACGAGGGGAAAAAACCTGACCACCAGCAAATGGAGGAGAAGGAGAAACTCTGGTTCTCTGTTGTGGAGGAAGTAGGGCTTGCCCCCTGCATCGAATTGGAACAATCAAGAGAGACTTCATGGAAGAAGCAGCATTTGAAATGGGCCTTAAAGACTGAGAAAAGGTTTTTACAGGTAAAGGAAGAAAAGATGCTAGCAGGGGAAGAAATTGTGCGAGGGGCCTGAAGGATGGTAGAAAGCCTGGTTTTCTGTCTTTCTGCATCTATGGTGCCTCCTGCATAGAAGTCTAACAGTGGCATGTTGAGCATGCCCAGTGGGCTAGGACCGAGCCACAGAGAGGAGGGTAAGGGACACACTGGGAAAGGGACAGGAGCCACACTGAGAAGCACTTTCTGAGCCAGAACTGGCATGATGTGCTGGGCCACCAGACACAGCAGGGTCCCGGGCAGGGCTGGGGCACAGAGGGCAGTGTATTCCTTGGGAAGACTGTGGGGTGGGGATCCTCCTTGGGCACCTTTGTCTCAGGTTGGGGATAGGATAAAAGAACACACTGTGTCATTCAGAAAAGTTTCCCGTGGTGGCTGGCCTCCCCGACCATGACCCTGGGGGGTCCCCAAGATGCAGCTCTCCTTTCCTGGCTCAAAGCTTCAGCCAGCCAGCCAGCTGGGCAGTGTCTCATCCCTCACATGTATCTCTCCGAAACACAAGAGACTGTATGCAGAAAACATAAATTTTTCATATCCTCGATTTTGTTAAAATGTAGTTTCAGTGCTATGTACCTGCATAAACACCATACGAATACCACACTGGGAAAAAAATTAAAATTCTACCTCTGCAATATCCAAGCATCCCAAATGTCACGTGGGTCGGTCTCATGAGCGTGCCAAAACCTGCCCGACTGCGCACTTTAAAACGGCGCACTGTGTAGCATGCGAATTCTAAATCAGAAGAAATGAAGAGGAAAGAACATCAAATAGGGTTAGTGAGTCTGGGCTGGAAGCACCTCAAGCTCAGGATAACGGTCACGCATCCTGAGCCATTGAATGCCATGGTTTTCACCCAAGGTTTTCCACTTCTCTCTTTGGGTTCTGACTGCAGGAAATGTAAAAATTTTGTCACCCAAAGGCACTGAGGTTGCCTGTCTCCTCGCTGTGTGGGTATCATCAGTAAAGGACAAAGAAGGAAAAAGAGAAGAGAAAATGCAAGGGCCCTTGGGCAGAAAGGAAGGTCGGGCAGCTCTGAGGAGGTGACATTTAAGTTGAGAACTTAAGAGCAGAGAAATGGGCCATGTGAGCCGGAGGGGAACAAGCATCCTGGCCACATGAAGTCATGTGGGTGAGAGTGGTTTCTGTAAACTATGAAGCTCCCAGCCAGCTCTGCCCCAGCAGGGGTTTCCAGTGTCTCAGGAGCAGGGGCAGGGGGCAGGGGAATGTGGGTGTCAAGCTTCAGACTGAGCTACATGAAACAGATCCCAAGCTGAGCGGCAGCATCCCACGCCTGTGGGAGTTTCCTCCTGGCAAAAGGCACTGGGTGTACATGGGAGAGATGTTAAGTTCTCTCCAGTCAGTGGCTTCCTGATCAGACAATTTTTGAGAGAGTTAAAAAAAAATGCACTTGTCAGCCCTCTACATAACTTTAATCCTGTTCAGAGGCATTTCCAAGTTGGGGGCACAGGTTGCATGGGGAATGCATCATTATTTTCAGTTTGCAAGCCAGGAATGCCGGCAAGTCACAGCAACAAAAAGCATGAAAGAGTGAAATTTTGACAGGATAAGATCAGTAATCCTCTAGGAAGATCATGTGGGTCTTAGCCTTTTTCATATCAAGGACCTCCTAGCTGGCTGAATTTTGACACCTCCAAAGAGATATGTCCACGTCCTAAACAGCAGGACCTGGGACTGTGACCTCATGTCAAAAAGGGGTCTTTGTGGATATCATTACATTAAGGATCTCAATGAGGTCATGCTGGATTTAGGGCCTCCTTATAAGAGGAGAGGATGTAGCCGCCCAAGAGGATACCCAAGGCTGCTGGCAGCTGCCAGGAGCTGGGAAAGATGCACGGAATGGATTCTTCTTCAGAGCCTGTTGGCATCTTGATCTCAGACCTCTGGCCTCCAGAATGGCAAGAGAGTAAGTTTCTGTTGTTTTCAGCCATCTGGTGTTTGGCAATTAGTTACAGCAGCCATGAGAAACTTATACAGATTCATTAGACAATCTGGTGAGACCTAATGGGCCCCTTGTCAAAAATGATGACTTTGAAGTGCCTAGGACTGAAAATCGTATTTAAGTTCACCTCTCTGTGGACCATGTGGGCCCCAGGTGAAGGTCTAGTGGAAACTTCTATGGCTGTCACTGGAGAATGTCTTGGGGCTTCTCCCTGTCTGGTAACAGAAGACACCCCAGGAACCCTGCTAATTTAGTGACTGCCCTGTATGAGAATCCCGTCAAAATAGCCACAGTTCAGGAGAGGGGCTGTGTGTCACTTGCAGGGTCCCACAGTGCTGCAGACCCAGCAGTGTCCTGAGGCTTCTTTCCCAGGAAATTCAGCCTGTAAAGCAATGCCTGGCTTCAGTGCCAAATGACTCATGTGAAATGTAAAGCCCTGAGCAATTACTTTTCACAGGGATGAAGGAATACAAGGCATTTCTATCACACATCCTCCATTTAGTCCCTTGTAAAAGGCACAAAAGCACTGCACCACGTTTACTTGTGGGAATAGGTGCGATGACACCGGGCTCTTCAGGAGGTCGGGCTGGCCCTCCAAGAGTCTGCTCAAACCCTAGCTCCTCAGCCTGCCGTGGGCCAGTGTTCCTCTCCCCACAACAGGGTCCAGTCCCCACGACAGAGGAAAAACTACTGTGGTGACCAGCCTTTCAATAAATACTGTTTTTGCTTCGAAAACATACAAGATAATATTGCTCTAAAATTACCACAGGATTCACCCTCAGGAACCCAAAACTACCAAATCATTAGCATCAAATCACAGTGTCCACAGATTTGTGTACTTAGTAGGAAAACTTGCACCCGTTGGTGTTAGTCAAACCAGGGGAAGATTGCTAGTTCAGAGAAAAAAAGAAAGAATTCCCAGGAGCAGTTGCCCAAATCAGTACTAGATCAAACTGAAGTGGGGGATCTAAAGATGCTCACCCTTTCCCCACCTTCAGAGAGCCGTGGCCTCAAAATGCCCCTGTAAGCCTCGCTGTGACAGCCAGACCAGGTAGGCAGGACAGCCACTGACTGAGCATCATGCTTCCATCTACCTCTACTTGTGTGACAAGGGGACAGAACCTGAAAGATAGGCCCCAAGATTTCCTACCCTGATCCCTGGGACTGTGGAGGTGATGAGAAACCGTACGCTGAATATATTTTGTGACATGGCAAAGGGATTTTGCAGGAGTAATTAAGGTTACTGATGAGTTGACTTTAGTGAATCAAAAGGGAGATTATCTGGGTGAGTCTAATCTAATCACATGAACCCATTAAAAGCAAAGAGTTTTCTCCAGCTGGTAGCAGAGGGAGAAGTCAGAAGGTCAAAGCATGAGGGGACCATGTGGAAAGCATGAGAAGGAATGTGGATGGCCTCTAGGAGCAAAGACTGGTCCTCAGATGACATCCAGCAAGGAAAGCGGGAACCTCAGTCCTACACAGGTAAGGAACTGCATTCTGCGAACAACCTGAATGAGCTTGGAAGCCAGGTCCTCCCCAGTCAGGTCTCCAAATGAGAACACAGCCCAACCAACACTGTGACTGCGACCTGTGAGACCCTGAACAGAGAGCCCGGTCAGGTCCACATTGTCTTCTGACCTACAGAACTGAGATGACAAATGCATATTGCTGGAAACCACTAATTTTGTGGCAACTTGTCGTGTAGCATGGCTACTTCCTGTCTGCTCCCACTCCATCCAATGTGGCAGCCACTAGCCACATGTGGCCACTGAGCATTTGAAGTGTGGCTGGCGTGAATGGAGATGCTCTGTAAGTAAAAAAATACACCAGATTTTGGAGGCTCCGTATGAGAAAAAGTATAAAATATCTCATCAATAATTTTTATATTGATTATATGTTGAATTGATAAGGGATTAAATGAAATATATTATTAAAATTAGTTTCACTTGTTTCTTTTCACTTCTTTAATGTAGCTTCCAGAAAACTTTAAATTAAATTAAGTCTAG